TTTCTAACGTCTTAAGGACTCAGGCTACATTAGGGCTTGTGGGGAACCCCTCAACAGCTACTCCACAGCCCTGGCTCCAAGAAAGCTAACACTCCAGAGCCTATCAATTACCCAAGGGCTTTTGGAAAAGGTAGTCAGCTTCTGGTAGGAATAAAGCACTATTTCGGTCCCTTTGAAGATCCTAACAGGAAATACCTTGCTTCAGCCTAAACTGCTGAGGGACAGATTCAAGTGGATGGCACTCAACAGGTTTAGAATAACACATTCTCCAAGTGCTCTGAGTTTCTGACCAACAACACAAAAAATTCTATAGTTAGACTTCTCTTTCTGGACACTCACTTACAGTGATATTGGAATTAGGTAGCTCTCTGTATATATTCCACATAGACAAAAATATTCATGGAGAGTTAGTGCAGAAACTTCATGGAGGGCTGGCCCTTGGGTATCTGGAAGACTAGTGGTACACTCTCAGCTCCCCTGAGAATACTGACTACTGCCTGTTTGAGTGGTTGATATCTTCTCCTTCCTACCGGATGCAAAATCCTCTTTCCTCCATTCTTTCACCTTCATTGCAAACATCCCCACTCTATGAGCCCTGGCAAATGTATCGCTGTTTTATTCATTCCTCTTGCCTTGCCGAAGCCAGCTCACAAGTGTGAGATCTGTACAGTTTCACAGGGCCCCACACTTAGAAGGGCTCTATGTTTGGTTTAATGCTCTGCTGTCACCGACTTGAAATTCTTAATAATTTTTGAAAGAGGGGCCTTGCATTTTGCACTGGCCCACATAAATCATGTAGTTGGTCCTGCTCCTTGCCATGGACATTAGATGGGGAGAAGGGTTGTGCCACACAAGTTAAGAGTGGGCGGTGTACCTCTTGCCCCACTTTAGAATGAAGCAGGCATTTTCCCACGGAGACAATCCATAATGGTGGATGGAGGTGCTAAGAGCTCCATCCTCTTTAGCCTTAATTTTTTTCATCTCTGAAATGGGGACAGTAGCACTTACCCTTGCACTTTACTGTGAGCCCTGAGTGAAATCATGTATAATAAGTATCCATCAGGGTGTTTGATATATAACAGATGTTTGCTAAATGAAATCCATGGGAGAGAGCAGGTGCAGTAAACAGAGTTTGAACTCTGACACTAGGAGCTAGGTTAGAATCATATCAGACTCACGTGGTGATCATTTCACAATATATACAAATATTGAATCACTGTTGTACACCTGTAACTAATATAATGTTACATGTCAATTATATTTCAATTAAAGAAAGAGAATTGTATCAGCTCTACTGCTTAAAAAGTTGTATGCCCTCAGTTAAGCGACTTGACTTCTAGCCTTTGTTCCTTTATCTGTAAAATGGAAATGCTAACATTTACCCTGGATGGTTGTTTTGGGATTTAAATAATCAAATATATTTAAAGAAACTAGTTTATTGCCAGGTATTAATAGGAGCTCAAAAAAATAACAGTTCTGGGTTTAGTTCCCATATAACTCTATTTCTGTACTCTAAACAATTCATTTACAAGTGATGTTTGGGATGAAGCCCTTAAGTGTCTTATATTATACAACTTCCTGTATACAGTATTATCTACTAAATAAACCTCCTGTATGTGAAAAAAATTTTCTAAAAAATATTTGAAGATTATTTCTCTTCTCTGCTAGTCTACGAATTACTTGAAGGCAGGAACCATGTCTTGCTTACCCTTGTAGCCTAGAACACTTTCTAACACGTTAGAATCTCAGTTGAATTAAATCTTTCTTCTGTCGTTTGTGTCAACAATGAGATGATCATTTTTTATAACATTCCTAAATTAGCAATTAATAATTACTCTGTCAAGGATTAGAAAGTAGAATGTATCAAAAATAGCCCCGTTTTTGCCATTAAAAGCCTTTTTTCCCCCTTGACTATCGCACTAGGCTCATCCTCCTGCATCGTGGGGTCTGGTTCTTGCACCATTAACAAAACAATTCCACCAGGAAACATAATTTAATTTTGTGCAACCAATCTCCTTCCTTGGCAACAGCCTGTATAGAGAGACATTCCTGAAACACCAACATCTGAGTCATAGTTTGATGCCTCTGAGGATTCAAAGAGGACTCAGAACTATGACTTTTAACCATTTGAGGGTCATGGGTCCCGTCAGAAACCTTCTGATAATTATGGACATTCTTTCCAGAAAAACATATTGAATATCTTACATACAATAACAAGGTATTTGCAGAGCTCCTGCAGCCCTTGTGCCTCGGGTTAAGAGTTCTTGTTGGAATAGCCCTGAAAATTCAGTGAGCCAAGCCAGAGATTCAAGCTTCCAGATAAATTTGAGCCTTGACTAGTCACACTCCCTTGTTCAAAAGAAAAGAAAAGAGTCACAATTCCCTAGATTTAACTTCAGGGTTATCCTTGAGGGCCCTGTCCCAGGCATTAAACAGTAAAGGCCTCCAGACAAGCAGTGCGTACTCTGGAAAACCTGAGTTCAGCCGAATAAAACAAAGACTTGTTTGATAATATCGTTTACATTTCCAAATCCCCAGTATCAAGCTTTCTTCCTATCCCTTGTGGCCCTTCCTAAGTTTAGCTGCTGGTGTAATGGGGTAACCATGGCAACAACCACCTGCCTATTTAAAACCATCTCCAAAGCTAAATAAGGAAGCCTGGAGAAAATGGCTGCTCGCCTGCCTCTCAGTGGACAAATTGGGCACTCCTGGGTATTTTCAACATGAGCAAACAGGCAGGGTAGAAGCAGCATGGATTCAAAATTCTTAATAGGAAGTGTTCTGGGACCTGGTGAAACATGGCCTACCTCTATGCCACTGTGTCTTCATTTATTAGTAGGCACATGGATTTACATGCAAATCCCCATGCCTATCATTCTATGTGACCACACTACTTTGACCTCAATCAGGTGAAGGGTGAGGCAGGCACCTAACTGCAAAAAGTAGTCTTGTTAATGGGAACTGGGAAGTAGGAAGGAAAAACAGTCATTTGGGGCAAAGTAAATTTGTTTAAAGTTTTCACTGTAATGTGCGATTACAACTTTTTTTCTGACAGAAGTATCTTTCTAATGGTACTCAATTATGTAGATGATTGATGATTGCTCTATTTATGTCATATGTTGACCTACGGATTTTTGGAATACAGAGAAATTTCTCCATCTGTCTGCCTCCTTGCTTTCTACCAGCTACGGTGGTTTTGCTTCTTTTTGTGCCAAGAGACCACATAACTGACCACACTACACAGCTTGCTCTTCTCCAAGCATGCTGCATTCTTGTACTTCTTGGTATCTTTTTGTATATTTGGTTCTTTCTCCTTGGGTTGCCCCTCACTTTTTGTTGACCTGGAAAATATGTACTTGTTTTCTGTGTCTTGGTTTGGGCATCTGTTGTTGGAAAGCCTGCCACACCAAGTTCCATGCCTTTGCTTTGTGTTCACCATGCATATCTGCTTTCCAGTCTGTCTCCACTATTGGACTGAGAGACCCCCAACACATGGCTATTCAAAACAGCTACGGAGCAGTGCCTGGTACCTGGTATGTTTACAAAAGATACATTCATTCAATAGATGAATGAATGAACAGAACCTCCTGTATTTCACAAGCATATGGCATCTTAACAAGCATGTGTGCACGAGTATGTATAAAGGTACCTGTGTGAAAAGACCATGAAAGTCTGGAATGGATGGAAGAGTACTTTTTTTTTTCCTACATGATTTTGTGTATATATGAGAGTGAAAAAGATTGTGAGAAGACATCAATTGATTTGTAAGTTTGTTACTATAGTAGGAACAGGGGCTAGAAGTATATATTAATAGTGTTTTGTGAGTGTGCAAGATCTGTGTGTGTGTGTGAGAAACAGAAGAGGCCAGTGACAGAATGCACATCCTAAGAAGATTAGTTCAGCTACTATTAGATCCTATAGCTCACTTTTCCCGAAGCTGAAGTAGCTTCATTAGGTTCAGTTTCTGATCCCTAAAAATACTTTCTTCTTCCTGCCTAACCTCCTAGGCTGTGGGATCAGGGGAAAGGAGTAGGAATAAAAATGTGGAGCTTTTCAGGAGTTGGGTTTTAAATGAATGTCTTCAGATAACACCGGACTTCTGCTTTAAAGAGACTACTGCAGGCTACAGTCAAGCCCATGGAGCTCAGGGCAAGTCCTTCTTCCCCACCTGCCTGAGGGTAGAGTGGAACCCAGTGGTCATCTTGAAATGGTGCAACAAACAGGAAAGAGAAAGGATGAAAATTAACCACGGAGAAGGAAAAAAGAAGGGAGAAAGGCAATTTAATCCCAGGAGTAGCTCTATGCCAGTCACAACTCACTTCTCCTAAATTCCCTTCCACCAGCAAGAAGGGGTTGGCTTTATTTGCAAATGATCTGGTTTTCTCTCTGTTATCATTTTCGTACCTAATATCCAGACTTCACATAGGGTGCACAGGCTATGGGATCTGGTGGGCTCGGGGTCTCGCCGGCTCTGCACCGGCCTCCCTCTGCTGCCCTCTGCTGTCCCAGGAAGCGGAGGCGACGCCCTCTTGGCCCTTAGGGCCCTGGCCCAGGAGCTACCGCCTCCTCTGAGACCGAGAGAAGATGAGGCTCCTGCCATCCTGGCTGCCCCTCTCCCCAGAGGAATCGCTGGGGTTGGGGGTCGGGCAGCGGGTACGTTTCGAGAAAGCTGCCGAGCCCCAGGAGGGGTTCCAGTTAGCTAAGAGCAGACCCTTACTCCACACGGCGGGCGCATCGCTCCTTTCTTCCCGCCCCCAACTTCTTCCCTCTGCATATCAACCTCTGGGAGAAGACAAGAGGCCAGGCTGCGGCAGGTTCCTGACAGTATTTTCTTGGAAATGGAAGCCTTCCTTCAGGCAACGTGGCAGGAAAGCGAAGTCCCTGGGCGGCGGGGCCAAGAATACTCGGGTGAGAGCAGGTGGGGGCCTCGGACTAGCGGGAGGCACGGGGGAGGGGCGCGGGCAGTGTAGCAGGGGGCTGCAGCTGCACGACCCTCTTACCTGCTGTTGAATTTTTCAGGGTGTTTCTCTCTCATCACGTGGAATCTGTGTGCAATAGAAGCATCCTGAAAGAGAAAGAGACAAGAGAGCAGACCCCTGGTTAGTGGTCATGACCCTGCGATGTGGAAGAAGGGAAGCCCACACTCTCATGATCCCCCAAACCCTGAGGGCCCATCTCACAGGGGAGAACACCAGGTCCAAAGTTAAGGGCTACTGCCACACTGCTTGAAGAGCCTATGCCAGTGGACTCCTTGCAATATTCCCCCTCTACCCTGCCATAGTGCAGGGCGAGTGGAGTGGACAGCCTCTGCCCTTTGAGGAGGGTGTCTGGGTCTGTGAGCAGTGAGAATGCAGAAGCCTTTGTGTGTGTGGTGTGTGTATGTGTGGGGCGGTTAATGTGAGCCTCTGGAAATGCCTTGCCATATTCACTCTTTAAAAAATACTTTTTTATTTTGGAATATTTAAGTCTCACAAGAAGTTGCAAAAATAGTACAGTGAGTTCCTGTGTCCCTTTCACCCCGCTTCCCCCAGTGATAGCATCTTACATAACTATAGTACATTGTCAAAAGCAGAAAACCGATATTGGTAGGTGCCCTTATATATTAACTCTTAATTATCCACAACAGTAAAAATAATTGGTAGCATTAGATAACACGCGTAGTAGATAACAAAAAGTATATTTAAACTTCTGACTTCTGCTTCTTGATCATTCCATGGATATGATTCTCCCCAAGGTCAATAAGAGTCTCATGACCAAATTCTGTGGACACTTTGCTGATCTCCTATTAGCACATCCCTTTGCTGTACTCTTGGCCACCTGCTTCTTAGAATGCACAGTGAGACTAGCTCCCATGACACTATGCTTCTGGGCTCTCCATCTTTGGATCAGAACTTTTTAGCTCTGAGTCCAATCCGCAGCTTACACTCCATGTCACGGGCCATTTTGAGTTCTCATAGTTGTTACTAGCATCTAGATGCTGTGTCTCCACAATACATATCTCTAGAACCAGCCTTGAGCTTCAGACCTAAAACCGAACTCATCTTTCCTCCTGAAACCTGGTCTTCCACCCTTATTAATGGTCTGATTTTCCAGCAGAAGAATGTGAATGTCCCTTTAGCTCTCATGCCAGCACTTCAGGTGCAGACGGTAGACTTTAGAAATAAACAAACTAATTGGTATGGGGTGGCAGAGTGACAAAAACAAGGGAACTGATTCAGATTTGTGCAGGGGAAAAAAGGTACAGAAACTTATTTACTGGAATATGTGGCTAAAAGAGAACTGAAATTCCATTCAGTGAATTTTTAGCTAGTACATGTTAATTCCTTTTCTTGATATGGAAACTACAAAAATTTTTTTCTAATTTTTTTTTTTTTTAACATCAGAAGATATAGTGCAGTGAAGAAGCATTTTTTGAGCATGTGCTGTGTGTGGTGTGTAAAGTACAAGCTAATGGTGGGGACAAAAATCCAAAAGCAAGTTAAAGAGCAAAGAGGAGCTTCTGCAATTATTTTGTGGTTGGCAAACACTCCTTGCTGAAATCATGTCTTGGGAATTTAACATTTTTTTAAACTCTAGCTCTTGCTCAATTTTTTAGTTTTTAGTTTAAGACACATCCAGAGTTGAAGGTCTTGGTTAGGCACCCCTGTGGACACACGGTGGGAGATGTGCAAACCCCTGGGAAGCCTCTGTCCCCCAGGCTTATCCAGCCTGCACAGCTTCTCCGGGCAGCCGTGCTTCATGCTGCCAGACTGCGCCCACCTCCCTCTCTCTGAGCAAGTTTCAGTGAACACTCTGAATAACATTCATATGACATCTGTCAAGTGCTTCTCTAGAAGTCAAGAAAACATTCCATCTACTTGGGTTCCTTCAAAGCACTAATTTTCTTCTGTCAGGAAAAAAAAAAAGAAAGGAAGAAAGAAAGAAAAGAAAAGAAAAAAGCAATCATATGTTGCCTGGCACAATTTGTACTTCACTCTCCCTGCTCCCAATGCTGCTGTGACTGGCTCCTGGCTTTTTTATCCTCTGGGATATGTGCACAGGCCCCCTCCTTCTATGTCGGTCCGATAATCCTTGGTTTTTTATAACTAGGTCCTGTAAAACTTCTTTTCACAAAGACCAGCCTTTGTAATATTATTAGTTAAGCATGTGGTTCATAATTTGACATTGTAATTCCTTGGTAAATGCACAAAGTAGCGAAGGAGAGTCCAGCAGTTCCTTTGCTGTTCAGGGGGAAATACGGTCAGAACCTTGACCGTATTTCCCCACTTGAGGATTAAAAAGAATTAAGATTCACCTTCACTCTTTGTTGGGCTTCTCTGTGTCAGGTACTGAGCTGAGTGTACTTACTTTCAGTAGTGATGTCATTTAAATTTTGGAAACCGGTGCTACCTACAATGGTTCAAACGCTTTCCTGGTAATAATTACAGCAAAATGAGACTTCTGTTCTGAAGAGAGTGGGGTGTAGATGGGAAACTTGAACTTGTGGAAGTGATGATGGCATTTTTGACAGCCTCACTTTTTGGGGTCTTCTCTCTGAGGTGTGGGATGAAGAGGAGATGACAGCAGTTTGGCCATGCAGCTACTCTTTCCTGAACTAAAACTTTAAGAGCACAGTTGGGTAAAAGACTTTTGTGCCCTTTTCAAATATAAGCAGCAGTCATTTGGATGTCGAGATAGCGAGATGTCTAGGCCAGTGATGTCCAGTAGAAATAAATTAAAAACTTTCTAGCAGCCACATTAAAAAAGTGAAAGGAGAGGAAATTAAATTTAATAATATATTTAATTAACAGATATTATCCTTACATCATGTGATTAATATATAAATTACAGAGATATTTTAAATTCTTTTCTCCATACCACATTTTTGAAATTTAGTGTGTATTTTACACTTCACCACATCTCTCAATTTAGACTAGCCCCACTTTAGGTACACAATAGCCACATGTGGCTAATGGCTACAATATTGGACGATGCAGGTGTAAGTCACTTTAGCAACTTATGGAGATAAAAAGACAGAGAGGAGACAGTAAGACAGAATATTTGAAATTCGAATTGTTCTGAAAAATTATGGCATAAAAAAGAGTGTAGACCTTTTGTTCAAGACACCTTTCGGTGGGTCCTATTGTTTTAGTAGCTTTATGGCTCTCGTAGGTGAGAGACAAAAACCTGAGGCTGAGGGAATCCAAAGGTTGCAGCGAAAATGATGATACACACACACACACACACACACACACACACACACACACACGCACACACACACTCCCTAATTGGTAGGAGGCATATGATTGTGGAAACTTGGCGGGTGAAGTCTGATAAGTACAGTCTGTAAGGTGGAAAATGGTGTGTGGGTTAGTGTGATGGCTGTGGCCTCTTCTTGGCCCCTGGGTTCCCTTAGCATCAGAAATAGATTTCATTGAATCAAGGGATTAGCTGTTCACTCGTCCTGTTAAGGCTCAGTGAAAGCAGAGCCTTTGAGGCATTCAGAGTTACACATACCCTAGGAATTATTTCGCAGTCTCAAACTTCCTGTCACTGATACCTGGCCATCCTGACATTTCTGCAAATCCAAAAATAAAGAGCAGAGACGAGAAGGCCAGAGAAGTCAGAGGAAGTAGCATCCTGAATGACTGTGTTTAAAATCTCCTGCCAATGGATGTTATCAGAGGACTGAGAAGGCCAACTATCTCAACTCTTCACTGAGGGGAGCTGGCATGTATGTGGATGATAGGAATGTGGTGACAAGGAGGCCACAGTCACTCCCTGGTTAGGCCAGGAGAGTCTGTCTTGTTTATTAAATGAGTTTTGTCGTTAACAAGGGGATGGAGTGAACTGTCAGGGCAAATTCTATACCACCCAAGGGCACCACAGCAGCAGTCATTGTCATCACCTTTGCAAATGCAAGGCAGCAGACATTTGATATCAATAGATATTCCAGGCCCTTCAAAAGAGGCAAAGACTTTGGAAGGCTCCTTTTGCCAAAGGAAACAGACTGTAATCATCATAAGGAAGTAAAACCCTAGGTTGGTTTACATACCTACTTCTCCTCTTACAAGTTTGGGAAGTCAAATACGGAGCAAGAGCTTCTGCAAATGTCAGCCCCAGATTCTGTTAGGGTTGTGTGTTGGTTACTTGTTTTCTCAAGAATTTCCCTTTCCAATTTTTAAAGAGCGAGCACACAAACCCTGCAAACATTTTATTGAGAGAAGGCTAAGGGCACACTGAGGAGGTAAAACACAGTCCTGGTCCCTCACTGCTTTGCAATAAAATACTAAACATGCACAAGCGAAAGGTGTATGAAAAAAATCATAAGGAAAGATACTGTGGAGTTCTTCATAATTTGAAAGATGAACAGACTAGATTATTATAAGTTAGCCTCGGGCAAATAAATATCTTGACCACTGAGTATGATGGAGAATCTATTTGTATGCATTTCCTTGGGGGACAATTAGTTGGTCTTCTTCCCTCCTCTCTCACTTATTTGCAAGAATGAATTAAAACCATGATCGGTCTTGGCTCTTAGAATTAGGCTTGGTTATCTAGTTGGCGGGGGGTGGGGGTTGTTGTCTATTCCTCTTTACTGTGTTCATCCATTTGGTCAGCTAATACTAAGTGAGTTTTTTCTTTGTATATGGTACGGTGTAGAGATGGGGTATAGATATGGTCAGGAATCGTGTAGTTTTGGGCAGTCAGAGCTGGGTGTGGTAAGGAGAGAAGATTAAGGGCTGAAGACTCTGAAGGCAGCTGTGACTGTAACTTGCCTTCTAGAAGTTTCCATACAGGTCACCCTGTACTACACAGCTCGTACTTCTGGCTGGTTGCTTATAGGTGCTGGTTTGCCCCCTTTCTCGGTCTTTATTCTCTTTCATCTATTTTAGTTCTGGTTTCTGCTCCTTTGAAGAACCACTTCCTTGACCATTTTCTGCTCTAATGGGTTATGTTCACTCACTGAAGACTTGGGCAGGACCATTTGCATAAAAATTATCTCAGGGGTCTGTTAAAAAAGCAAATTCCCAGACCAACTGAATCAGAATGCGAATCAGGATCTGTCAAGGGAGTGAAATTTGCATTTCTGACAAAGGGCATAGGTGAGCCATCACACATTAAATTTGGAGGTCCCCCCATCCCGGGCACCCAAATGCTGCTGGAGGGGGTTGTGCAGAGGCTGCCAGGCTCATGGCCCACAGCTCAATGGGCTCTGGAGCACGACAGTAGTGCCTCCTGGCTTTACCACTCACCAGCTTGGACCTGTCTCTGTACCTACACTTCCCTACAAAATGCAAAAGGATGATGACAATATCTACCAATAAGGAAACTGTTCCTAGTGTGCAGTAAGTACCCAATAAACGTTAGCAAGTTATACTCTAGTTACTATTGGCAAAAGACACAGAGTTTTTGCGCAGCTGTAATGATGGGAAGCTCATGCTCCAGAAGCCCCCTGAATGCCAGCCCTGTTAGTTGTGTCTGATTCGTAGGAGGTAAAGACCGTGTGTTCTCATTAAGGGAAATGGAGTCTGAACAGGTGGTCCAAAAAGAAGTGGGGCCTTTGAGCCAAGAAAAGGAGGGAGGGGTCTGCTTAGGTCACTGTAGGGGGAGCTGGAAGAGGCTTAG